AATGGGTGGGGAGCGTCTGTAAAGCCTACAGGGAGAGGTGCGAACGGGTATAGAAAAAACACACATAGTTGACAAAGCTAAAAAAGAGCAAAATTAGATAATCTGTAAATAACTAGGTAAGATACTCAAGTGAGAGAGTGGTGTGGAGCCTTCCTCTCTTTCCTTCCTCGAACAACACCCCAGAACAACTCGGCAGAACAGTCTTAGTTTCGTTGACATTCTTAGTTTAAGTCAAAACTGACACGACCGCCGCTTACAGCTGCCGCTGACAAACCAGGGGAGACTGAAGAACTAACACTAATTTCTAATTGCCTAGCAGCGGTGGAGAGCACACCTCCCTGTACTAATTGTTGATTGCCTAGTAGAGGTGAAACCACTCCCCCTCCAATAAAGCCACTGATTACCAAGACAAGTCACAAATTGCTCTGCCCCTTGATCCTGGTTGATGTGTCAACAACTATCTGCAAATTATGAGCAGTCAGCAGTTCACACACCAAGTAGGCCACTGGGAAGACAGGCAGCATTTAAGTAGATGGTCCTTGCTAGCAAAAATACAGTACTAGACCACAACAGATAAAGACAAAACAATTATATTTATAGTTAGTGACCATGCCTGTGTGTCTACAACACTCTCCTCTCAACCTGCACTCTCCTCTCTCCCATCATCCATCACTCCTCTCCTCTCCTCTCATCCATCTCTACCCCCTCTATCTCTCAATGCTCACTCCTCACATGAACTCTACAACACTACAGTATCTGTTCTGCATTAGTTCTTTATTTTAGCAGGTCACTTTCAGATTGGAATCTCTTTCTAAAGTGAGCCTGGGTCATGAAGGGAAGCACACATTCACCTTATAATTAGAACATAATCAGATTAACAGGAGATAAATACAAAAAACAAACAGCATTCAAGTTGTTTTTTATCTGGTTCATTCCAGGACAATGGAAACAAAGCTTGAGTCGACATGTCAATCACTCCTTTCTAATACAGAAAACAATTCAGCACTAATATGACAGAGAGAGAGGTCATATGATTCTGGGAAACTCAGGGTTGAACAGAATAAAGGCACTTCTGAGAACACGATACAGACAATATCTAGCGAGAGAGACATTCAGAGAAAACTCAAGGGCCATTCATGGTCCAGCTCCGAATCAACAGGTGCCATTACGTGAAAGATACTGACGCACATCCAACTGCTTTTTTTTAAACAAAAATAAGAATAAACCACACAAACAAGAATTGTTGAGAAAAAAGAGCAATTGAGAATAATAAAGTGACAGTGGAGCTATAGATAGAGTAAAATAAAGTGACAGAGGGAGGCTATATAGTGGGGGGTACCGTTGCAGAGTCAAGTGCGGGGCAGCTACGGGCCCATTCCATCCCCTCAAGGGCCCATCGACTGAATTCGCAACTCTGCTTTCCAACAAAGAATCCAATTGCGAATCTGGGTTGCCTTAAGATTGCTGTACACCAGCGAAATCCACTGAAGATCAGGAGCATGTTTTTGGCCTTGAAGAATGTGAACAAGCTCCCAGTGGTAGTATGTACCAACTTAGATAATACCCCCAAGAGACTTGAAGCTGTAATTGCTTGCAAAGGTAGCTCTAACAACGTATTGACTTTGGGGTTTGTGAATAGTTATGCACGCTCAAGTTTCTGTTTTTTTGTCTTATTTCTTGTTTGTTTCACAAAAAAAATATTTTGCATCTTCAAAGTGGTAGGCATGTTGTGTAAATCAAATGATACAAATCCCCCAAAAATCCATTTTAATTCCAGGTTGTAAGGCAACAAAATAGGGAAAATGCCAAGTGAATACTTTCGCAAGCCACTGTCGGTAAGAGGTCTTTATAAACTATATCTTTATAAACTTTACCTTTATTTAATGTCCGAGTTAATAGTGCACTATAAAAGTAGAGAAAGGTATGCAGTCTAAACGCCATTTACACACTTTTTTATTTTGCCTGAGCGTTTCCCCACCTATCGCAGAAAAATGAATTGGAAATATAGGGAGCGTTACTTTATTCACCGCGAACGTCTCTCAGCGTTTTACCAACCTACTGTTCAACCACTAGATCACTGGTAGAGAGAGAGGGGTGTGGTCAATGTACCATGGCGTCCTCTTCCTCATCCTCATGCTGGGCTCAAAGCCTTCGTCGAGGGCAGGGTCTGTCTCCCCCTCCTCCCCCTCCGTCTCCCCCCCAGTTCCCCCAGGAGCTGCTCCATGTGCTCCAGTATGGGGCCGTCATTACAGCACAACTTAATGTACAGCTGGAGAGAGACACACACACAGAAAAAAACATGTATTACATACATACACGTTTCCACTAGGACTTCATGTGAAAACTGCTACCAAATGCCACTTTCCTGGTGTATTGGGCTCAGTGAAATATGCTGTGAAGCGGGACCATTATAAAAGCCTATTGTAGAGGGGACCAGTAGATTTCCCGGCGTATAATATTCTCTTCTGCCTGAGTGGAAGCACTGGACTGATAACAGAACAACCCACCATCACACACACTACAGCAATCACAACACAGAACACACACACACACACACACACACACACAGATGCAATCACAACACAAAAAACGGATTAATTACTTTCGCTCCAAAATGAAACTTCTCCTCTCGTCCGCAGTGATGGAGATAAACAGGTCTGGGAATCTTGGCTGAACTACATTAGTCTGCTTCATCCATGCACACACGTGCAAGCACACACACACACCAGGGTTTCTGTTATCCATAACTGCCGGCTTTTGGACGATCAAAAAAATGAAAAGCCCATAAATTACGGACTCTGACATTGCTCATTCTGATATTTCCAGCCAGGTCAGCTTTCTTAATTTTTTGTTTCTTCTTTCTTCTTTCTTGTTTGTGTTTTAGTATTGTACTGTTAGACTCTTACTGCATTTATGGAGCTAGAAACATAAGAATTTCACTCCACCTGCTTTAACATCTGCTAATCTGTTTAGGCGACAAATAAACTTTAATTTGATATGGAACCACATGCATCATTTGCACTGTTTAGAATGGTGTATTCCCACAAATTGCATTTTGGCAAATGTTTGAAAAGGACGTTTTATCGGCTGCTTTACAGGAGTTGCATGTTCTGTTAAGATGAATTATCATAATCAAAATGTGATTTATGTCATTCTGTGCACGGTGGGTTGATGCCCTAATGGGTTACGCACCAAATGCATGAGTTGCATGTTCTGTTAAGATGAATTACCTGGAACCCAAAAGTGTTCTACCTGGAACCAAAAAGGGTTCTCCTATAAGGACAACCCGAATAACCCTTTTTTCTAAGCGTGTACTCTTTAACACTCACCTGTCTCAACCCTCTCTTCCTACATCCTGCTTCTATAAAACCTTATAAAGTCATTGGGCGAGAAACATTGTGTTTGAGAGGTGTGTGTAAACACTCACTTTATTTACATAACGTATTCAGACCATTTGCTATGAGACTCGAAATTGAGCTCAGGTGCATCCGGTTTCCATTGATCATCCTTGAGATGTTTCTACAACTTGATTGGAGTCCACCTGTGGTAAATTCAATTGATTGTACATGATTTGGAAAGGCACACACCTGTCTATATAAGGTCACACATTTGACAGTGCATGTCAGAGCAAAAAACAACTCATGAGGTCAAAGGAATTGTCCGTAGAGCGCCGAGACAGAATTGTGTCGAGGCACAGATCTGGTGAAGGGCAGCAAAAAAATTCAAGAACACAGTGGCCTCCATCATTCTTAAATGGAAGATGTTTGGAACCACCAAGACTCTTCCTAGAGCTGGCCGCCCGGCCAAACTGAGCAATCGGGGAGAAGGGCCTTGGTCAGGGAGGTGACTTAATACTTATTTACCTCATTAAAATGCAAATCAATTTATAACATTTATGACATGCGTTTTTCTGGATTTTTTTGTTGTTATTCTGTCTCTCACTGTTCAAATATACCTACCATTAAAATCATAGACTGATCATTTCTTTGTCAGTGGGCAAACATACAAAATCAGCAGGGGATCAAATACTTTTTTCCCCTCACTGCATCTACCTCTATCGATCCAGTATCCCTGCACATTGTAAATATGGTACTGGAACTGTCCCTGTATATAGTATGTTTACTTTATCATGTTCTTTATTTCTTATTATATATGGTGTGTTGTTGTTCTACATTGTTATTGATTACTGCATTGTTGGGGTTAGAGCTTGCAAGAAAGGCGTTTCACCCTGCATGTGACATTAAACTTAACTTCATCCATCTCCTCTCATGAACTCTACAACACTACAGTATCTGTTCTGTATTAGTTCTTTATTTTAGCAGATTGGAATATCTTTCTAAAGTGAGCCTGGGTCATGAAGGGAAGCACACATTCATCTCCTTTTTACAACATGAATAAAAAAAATAAGCAGATTGAGAGAAAAATACAAAAAACAAACAGCATTCAAGTTGTTGAGTTTTTTTATCTGGTTCATTCCAGGACAATAGAAACAAAGCTTGAGTCGACATGTCAATCACTCCTAATACAGAAAACAATTCAGCACTAATATGAGAGAGGCCATATGATTCTGAGAAACTCAGGGTTGAACAGAAGGCACTTCTGAGAACACGATTCAGACAATATCTAGAGAGATTCAGAGAACTCAAGGGCCCATTCATCCTCTCTCAAGGGCCCATTGACTGACACACTCGCAACTCTGCTGCTTTCCAACAAAGTGTTGCATCTGGTCTAGTTTGTGAGGTGTACAGAGATATGTAAGAGGTCTTTATAAACTCCATCTTTATAAACTTTATTTCATGTCCGAGTTAATAGTGCACTACAAAAGTAGAGAGGGGTATGCAGTCTAAACGCCGTTGACGCACCTTTTTTATTTACGCACCGATCGCAGAAGAATGCATTGGAAACATAGGGAGCGTTACTTTATTCACCGCAAACGTCTCTCAGCGTTTACCAACCTACTGTTTTACCACTAGATCACTGGTAGAGAGAGAGGGGTGTGGTCAATGTTCCATGGCGTCCTCTTCCTCATCGTCACTGTTGGGCTCAAAGTCTTCGTCCAGGGCAGGGTCTGTCTCCCCCTCCTCCCCCTCCGTCTCCCCCCCCAGTTCCCCCAGGAGCTGCTCCATGTGCTCCAGTATGGGCCCGTCGTCACAGCGCAACTTCACGTACAGCTGGAGAGAGACACACAGTTTGTTACATACATGCACGTTTCCACCAGGACTTAATGTGAAAACTGCTACCAAATGCCTCTTTCCTGATGTATTGGGCTCAGCTGAACAAGGATAGGATTTTTCTCTGCTCTCTCTCACATACACAGTATTGCTGTTGTTATCTCAGTGAAATGCGCTGTGAAGCGGGACCATTATAAAAGCCTATTGTAGAGGGGACCAGTAGATTTCCCGCCGTATAATACTCTCTCTGCCTGAGTGGAAGCACTGGACTGATAACAGAACGGAACCCACCATCACACACACTACAGCAATCACAACACACACAGATTCATTCCTTTTGCTCCAAACCACTTCTCCTCTAGTGAGGGAGATAAGCAGGTCTGGGAATCTGGGCTGAACTGCATTATTCTGTATCATCGCATGCACGCGCACACACACACACAAAGTACAAACAGCATCAGAAACAGATCACCTTCACACTGACAGTGTAACCCGGCCAAAATAGTTTGTGTGTGTGCGTACGTGCACGCGTTGGTGTCGCCTCAGGAACAGTCACCAGGCAGTAGACCATGACTGAGGACGCTTGGCCCCCTAGGAGCTCATTTGGAGACAGTGGATGTTCTTCATTTTCAAGCTGATCACTTGAGTAGCATGATATATCGATAAAATGTACTTATTCAACATAAGCTGTGATGTTTATGGAATGCTCATTTAGAAAAAGGAACGCATCTGCCAGGAGAGTATCATTTTTCATTGTGATAGCCGTTAGTTAAATAAACAGTGGTATACATTATAGAGAAGAGTGCTGAGCTCAGCAAAGCCACACAATCAATTAAACACATTTCTCATTTAGAGTGCTGCAAGTTTTCCTCCCTTCTTTCACAGGTTGGCTGCTCTGTGTGGTGTGTATGTGTGAGAGTGTGTTTGTGTCTTTCTCTTTCACAGGTTGGCTGGTCTGTGTGTGTGTGTGTGTGTATCACGGGTCAGCAGATTCTCTGGTCTAATCCAAGAAGCTTTCCCTCAAAGCCTGGAGTCTCTGAGGCACATCTGGCCACTGCCACACACACACACACAAAAATGGGCACACACCACACATTCACTCCCAATGACGCGTCTTTCCTAAGTCATTGTGACAGGGGGTGAGGGTTTTGACCTGTGAAGAGAGAGGAGGGAAATTAACCCTTAAATTATCTCACCCTCTCTCCCCTCCTTCCTCTTTCTCTCCCTCCCCTCACTATCCAGATCCCTACCTCTTTCCTTGAGGTTCAGGTTGACCAAGTGTATTTGTACATACAATAAATGGCACATATCTCATTAAAAAAATCACAGCAGAAATTGTGAAAGCAAGAGTCGATGTGCCCTTGATGCAAAATGAATGATAGAAAGAAAGAGACAGACTTAATTTCTCTCTTTCCTTCTTTGGGTGAATCTAATAGAGATCAAGGACTTTCTCCTCACCTCCCTCTAAATCACAATCCCCCCTCTCAAACTTCCCACAACTCTCTCCTGCTGTGTCTCCACTCCCTTCATCCTTCACCCTCTCTCTTTTCCTCCTGACCCACACTTTCTTTATCCATCTTTCTTCACCATCTTTCTCGCCCCCCGCCTTCTCTCTCTGCTCCACAAGTGACCTTCCTGTCTGTGTGACAGATCACTGCTCAAACTCCAACCTAGAACACACACCCCCACACACTCTCTCAGGAGAGGAGGAGAGCAGGGTAGGGAATGATGTGAGAGGTGGAGTGTAGGGGAGTAGAGGGCTGAGGGATGGTGGGGTATGGTTAACAGCAGAGGAGGTGAAATCAATCGTAACAACATCACAGAGAGAGGCAGCATTATGTGTGTGGAGTAAAAGAGTGTGTGTATGTGTGTAAATGAGTGTGTGGGAAGGAGCAAGAGGAGGTCAAGCGTTTTACTCTTTGATGAGCTAGAGGAGATCCCTTAGGGTATGGATGGGTTGGAGGGTATGTGTGTGATGTAATGTTAATGCTGTGGCTGAAAAGCGTGAGTGAACTCCAGGAGTGGTGAAGTGTTAATAGTGTGTGTGTGTGTGTGTCAGGGTTTCCATTAGGAAAATGTGGCACCGGACATTTGACCGGCAGCATTTTAATTTAACGGACATTTGAGAAATTTACCAGACCTATATGCATTGGGTGCGTAACCTGATTAGGGCTTCCACCCACGGTGCTCAAAATGACATAACTCACATTTAGATTACGGTTATTCAGAACATGCAAGTCAAGGATGCAACGGTGTGCGTCCTTCTTACCGAATTCCGATGCGCAATTTGAAGATGTTAGAATAACTGCCACATTAACTTTTCCTCAGCCAACAAGACGAGTAACGAACAGCAAAATCACTAGCCTAGTAGAAAGGTTTACCTATTCTATTGGTCAGCTTGTTGAGAAAGAAATAGCCTATTCCAAACAGACAGTTGTGGGACAATATATCCCAAATTCATACAACCAGTAGGCCTAGGCTACATAAAAAAATGTATAAGCAATGAGGCTGATGCAACAGATCAGAACGTTGATAAACTATTAATTCTTCACATTATAAGCGTAGCAATCCGCACAAGGCTACGCGCAAATGTTCGTTCCATAATTCAATTAGCGGTAAGACACTGTTGTCAAAAGCACATGCGAGTGGTTTCATGTGACAGAGATGAAAAAGATATCCATTAGAAATGTAGAAAGAGGGGAGATCTAAAGATGCAACAACTACCATGGGTTGCTAATATTACTATGATTGTGCCTTTGGCTACTGGACAATGAAAGAAAGTTAATTTGAAAACCAATAGAACATGAGAGAAATAGGCTACTGGCTTCAATTGCATATCGAAGTCTTTATAGAATAATTGCCTCCATGTTTCTACAGTCAGATTTTACTTTGAAGCAAGGGAAGACATGCCTCATCATATGAAGTAAACTGTTCAGGTTTCAAACAATTAAGTATGTTTTCAAAATGCATACTGCTTCCAGGTCATTGCAAAGTGATGTGTGACGCGCTGAAGCCTGCCTAACGTTGCCTACATGCACTTGAATGGCGAATGGGAAGCGCGCTTCAATAAGGCCTACCAGTTGAGAAATATAAATAGTAGGCCTAGCTCTTTTTAAATCTTGATTTAGAATTGTTACGTAATGATTGGTCTTATAAAAGCACGTTTCACTCCAGCAGCAGCTAATGAGCTGTTTGAGAAGCTGTAGCAGTAGCTCTCACACTGTCTGACAGATCTTCCTCTCATAGGCTCTGTATCTGTATGCTGTGAGCATGTGATAAACATAACGACTAACAAAAGTACACACGCGCCAATTTAATTCCACTAAATTATGCAAATAAATCTATAGACCGATAAGCATTAGTGGTCAAATTGACTGGTATTTCCAAAAAGCAATATTTTGCCAAGGATTATTTTTCTTCTCCCGGACAGTTTTATTAAAAATATATATATTTTACGCCAAGTGCCGGCTACCACTACGTGTGTGTGTGTGTGTGTGTGTGTGTGTGTGTGTATGTGTGTCAATCATGCCTGTGTCCTGTGACAAACATTACAACTGCATACAGCTATTTATGGCTTTATAAGGGGCTATGAGTTTACAGCTCCTCTTCTCTCCTCTCAGGGTGGTTGATGTATGGTTGAGGGAAGGGTGAAGAAAGGTTAAGGTTAATGATGGAGGAGAATTGGAGAGTTGAGAGATGGTTGGAGGGGTGTCAAGGTCAACCATCATCCAACCATCCTTCAACCATCATCCAACCCCCCCTGTAACCTTCCATGAGAGGGAGCAGAAGAGAAACAGGGTCTGTCTCTATAGAAGTAATGTGGCGAAGCACATTCATCAGAGCGGAAATGAATAATGGAGATATTTCTAACGAACATAATCAAATGTGCACAGACACATACACAGGCACACACATGCACAAATGTAATTAAATATGCACACTCACACAAACAGTGCTAACATAATTAGTGAGGGAAAAAAGTATTTGATCCCCTGCTGATTTTGTACGTTTGCCCACTGACAAAGAAATGATCAGTCTATAATTTTTAATGGTAGGTTTATTTGAACAGTGAGAGACAGAATAACAACAACAAAAATCCAGAAAAACACATGTCAAAAATGTTATAAATTGATTTGCATTTTAATGAGGGAAATAAGTATTTGACCCCCTCTCAATCAGAAAGATTTCTGGCTCCCAGGTGTCTTTTATACAGGTAACGAGCTGAGATTAGGAGCACACTCTTAAAGGGAGTGCTCCTAATCTCAGCTTGTTACCTGTATAAAAGACACCTGTCCACAGAAGCAATCAATCAATCAGATTCCAAACTCTCCACCATGGCCAAGACCAAAGAGCTCTCCAAGGATGTCAGGGACAAGATTGTAGACCTACACAAGGCTGGAATGGGCTACAAGACCATCGCCAAGCAGCTTCGTGAGAAGGTGACAACAGTTGGTGCGATTATTCGCAAATGGAAGAAACACAAAATAACTGTCAATCTCCCTCGGCCTGGGGCTCCATGCAAGATCTCACCTCATGGAGTTGCAATGATCATGAGAACGGTGAGGAATCAGCCCAGAACTACACGGGAGGATCTTGTCAATGATCTCAAGGCAGCTGGGACCATAGTCACCAAGAAAACAATTGGTAACACACTACGCCGTGAAGGACTGAAATCCTGCAGCACCCGCAAGGTCCCCCTGCTCAAGAAAGCACATATACAGGCCCGTCTGAAGTTTGCCAATGAACATCTGAATGATTCAGAGGAGAACTGGGTGAAAGTGTTGTGGTCAGATGAGACCAAAATTGAGCTCTTTGGCATCAACTCAACTCGCAGTGTTTGGAGGAGGAGGAATGCTACCTATGACCCCAAGAACACCATCCCCACCGTCAAACATGGAGGTGGAAACATTATGCTTTGGGGGTGTTTTTCTGCTAAGGGGACAGGACATCTTCACCGCATCAAAGGGACGATGGACGGGGCCATGTACCGTCAAATCTTGGTTGAGAACCTCCTTCCCTCAGCCAGGGCATTGAAAATGGGTCGTGGATGGGTATTCCAGCATGACAATGACCCAAAACAAAGGAGTGGCTCAAGAAAAAGCCCATTAAGGTCCTGGAGTGGCCTAGCCAGTCTCCAGACCTTAATCCCATAGAAAATCTGTGGAGGGAGCTGAAGGTTCGAGTTGCCAAACGTCAGGCTCGAAATCTTAATGACTTGGAGAAGATCTGCAAAGAGGAGTGGAACAAAATCGCTCCTGAGATGTGTGCAAACCTGGTGGCCAACTACAAGAAACGTCTGACCTCTGTGCTTGCCAACAAGGGTTTTGCCACCATGTACTAAGTCAAGTTTTGCAGAGCGGTCAGATACTTATTTCCCTCATTAAAATGCAAATCAATTTATAACATTTTTGACATGCATTTTTCTGGATTTTTGTTGTTGTTATTCTGTCTCTCACTGTTCAAATAAACCTACCATTAAAATTATAGACTGATCATGTCTTTGTCAGTGGGCAAACATACAAAATCAGCAGGGGATCAAATACTTTTTTCCCTCACTGTAAGTATGCTAGAAGTGGACTTGTATCTAAACAAGCCAGTGGGTTCTAGGCCTCATTAACATGTTCAGGGTTTCTGACTAACTCTGAGACTGAACACTTTAATAATTTACACCACGCTCACAAACACTGGTCTGTTACGAGGGAAGACTCTCACACACACACACACACACACACACACACACACACACACTAGTTATGCGTGGGTTGATACAAACCCGCAGTCCCCGTGGTTATATCCACAGGGTGGGCGGGTTTATGGCCATTAAATATTGTGTGTATTAAGGGTGGGTGGGTGGCGGGATTTATAAATGTATAAATCTTGTGCAATTCATAGCTATAGGTTATATTGGGGTTATTCTTCCATTATTTGTATCTGACATCAGTGAATAAGCCTAAGCTTCGGGGCCTAACTGTGCAGGCGCCAAATACACGGCAATTGCCAAATGCTTTTGGGAAAATTGGCAGAAAAAGTTAACGTCAGTCCGCTGAGGCAAAAAGGACACTGTCGGAGTATAATTCAATAAGAGAAAAGCTGCGAAATGGAGAGTTTAAAATAAAGAGAAGGGAGGACCAGAAAAGTAATGCATGGGAACTGTACTGTTCAGATGGGTTAAATGGAATAGTAACTGAAATCTGGACACTAACTGTGGGTCTATAACCTCTCACATAGTCTTAATATTAACTCCTGCAGAATTAAGCAGTTCTTGCAGTAAAATTATACACCAAATGTAAATTTTGACTCGGAAAGAGCAGTGGAGAAATACGATTTATTTATTTCAGCATCTTGTGAGAATGAATGCGCGGTTAGGGACCGTCTGTAAAGGTGCTATCTTTATCAGCATCGAAAAAGCTGATAGTATTTCAAACACATAAAATATGCATCCAAGCCAAACTGAAATCTTAACAGAAACATGTTGGGTCGTTTTCACAGCTTTTAACTCCCTTAAAACGGGTCAAATTGATTTAATTTGTAAATTTTGCATGGAAAATCGTTCTCGTTTTTTTTGTTATTGCTGCGCGAGAGAAGTAGAGATGAAATAACTTTATCGATGTCAACTGGATTGAAGCATTCATTCTATTGATGTATACATCCATATTTTCTGTTGAGCAAGGGTTTATTTAGTCTTCTAGGACAACATATAATGACAGAAGAGAAGCTGCATGTATCTAATTATAGACAAGATGAGTAACAAATAGCCTAACAAAATGTCGGAAAGCAGAAACATAGGCCTATCTAAATTAGGCGTCAAAAAAACGTTACAGCATCTGACTGTACAGCGTATTTTCTATATTAGCGGGTTAGGGTCGGGTTGCGGGCCTCAGATTTTCACTTTATCACATAGTTGGGTGGTTACGGATGGGTTATTAGCAATTGTGGACAGTGAATAAACAGCTGACCTGTGCATCACTAACACACATGCAGTCTTGTATAACTAACCTTCTGGGGACACACAATTCAGTCCATTTCTAAATCCTATTTCCCTAACCCTAACCGTAACCCCAAAACCTAACCTTAACCCTAACCCTAAAACTAACCCTAGCTTCTAACCCTAAAACTAATTCTAACCTTAACCCTAAACCCTTTTTGATTGTTTACTATTCTTGTGGGGACTTCTGGTCCCCACAAGTATAGTTAAACACATCCACACCCACACCCACAAAAACACTCCATGAATCGTATACTTCACAGGGCTCTCCGTATAGCTTGTAACACAATTCTAAGACAGACACATAGCTCCTCTTGAGGTAAGAAAACAATTAAGATAGGGTTAACATTTCAGAATCACTGCCAGCAGTGAAGCTCTGTATCATACGTGTGTATTGCTGACTGTACAAGCTGACAGTACAATATCGACCAGACAGACTGACATCAATACAAGTCAGTGTGTTTGTGTGTGTACCTTCTTGGCTTTGGTCAGGTAAGATCTGGCTGCCTCCTTCAACGCTTCACACTCCTCCCTCTCCTCATCACTCTCTTCTCTCTCCTCCCTTGTTCTCTCCTCCTTCGCTCTCTCCATCTGCAGGTAACACACCCAGCCTGAGAGATACCACACCTGTGAGAGAGAGAGAGAGAAGATAGAAAGAAAGGTGTGTTTTATTAAGTGAGCTCAGCTGTGACAGGGGAAACACATTTAACTGTCTGATGTCTAGTCCGCGTGAAATCTGTACCTGGAACTGTGACAAACAGGCTTAACACAGACACACACGCACGCGCACCGGAGGCACTGATTGAAATGCACACGGCATCTTCATGAGCTGCCACTATGGTAACGAGCTGGGCCTGTGCTCCTGCAGTTTGTCTTCCCAAACTTTCGTCTCCACGCGCCAATCTGACAGCGCTGTCACACACACACACACACCACTTACAGACTAAAGGACAAAACACAGCTACACACATTCCATCTCTCCTCTCAGCTACCTGATGTATTCCCTCTCCCTCATACCAATACTGTACACACCCACATTAAATACACCCTACACAGTTTACCCCCATCCCTCCACCTACAACACATAGCACACTTGTACTTCAGAAATGTGTGGGTGTGTGTGGGTGTGTGTCTCATCTGAAGACAAGGATCAGCCACCCACACTTCTTGCAGAAGCAGGACATTAACATTCCCCTCATTTATTATTCATTTTACAGCAGAAAACAACAGAGACCTCCACCTCTATCAGTAGACCCATTACATGCATGCACGCACACACTCATTGCAGACAAGAGGCTTGAAGGCTAAACATAACTTTATGCCTTTTGAATGATTATACAATTATAAGAAGCATCCTTCTCATGACCTGATCTACAACTCTGTAACTTAAGTTGAGCATTGCGGTTTCCGAACTTTTGAATACAGGCACTGACCTGTGTGTCACTTCAATTAGAACGTCTTTGCTTCCTCAAAGAACAAGTCTCTTTGAAAGTGTTTATGAAATATGGTCTGTTTTGCTAGTATTTATGGATGTATTAAACTATGGATGTATTAAACTAAGCACACACACAGACACACACACTCTTCACGAGCACACACGCCACTCGTCTCAGCAAATTAACAAGCCAGCAAATTAAAAACTTCTCAGAATTCACAACACCCACTCTCTTAACGATAAGCCTACAGTTCAGTAGGTAGGTGTCAATCAGTCCTCTTGGACGAGGCAACAGTCACAGATACCATCTGGTTCTAGAGAGCTTTAATCGTTTTTAACAAGGTCTATATAAAGACTTAGAAAGAGTCAGAATTCTAAGTTTGCCAAAAATGTTGTACAGGGAGTTAGGTACCACCACCTTGACTACTGGCAGCTGTTTGGGTCCATTAACAATGCATGAGTTACCGAGGTGGGTGACATCAAAAAGAATGGTTAGCACAAATACAGTTTGAGCTGTGGATAGAGGGTTTAGACTAGGAGTCATCGTCATCTCCAGTTGTGTTATACAGGTTATTCTGATGGTGCTCGAGAACACTGCTGACAAAACAAAAACTCTACTGTATATTCATAGAGTTCAAACTGTGTGTGTGTTTGTGACTGCTTAGAACAGGTGTCTCCTGAATGAGTTTAAAGGTTCAGAACCCAAGTGAATGCTCTCAATCTGTCAGCTGAGGTGTGTAGGAGGGAGGGTGTGAAAGAATGAGCACACTGCAGTTAGATCGTCACACACACACACACACACACACACCTCTTGCAAAGAATACTAATATGGCTCTGAAGCAGAGAGAAGCAGGTGTGTGTCCTTCTCGCTTCACCAACAGAAAACTGTGCCAGAATATTTTCATGTGTCTATTTTCAAAGGATAAAGCTAAAAACATGAACAACTTCATAGTTAAGAACACTATAACAATATGGAACAAAATGAAACCTATTCTACAAGAACCGTATCACTCCCTAAAAACACAACCCTATGGAACAATCCTTGGATAGCTTTTCAGAATTCACCGATAAATTGGTCCACATGGAAAACTAAAGGCAAAGAAACCATGATAGAATTAAAAAGGAATTTTGGACTGACCAATGTAGATATTTTCAAATACATGCAAATTAAAAGTTTCATATCAACACATTTTTATTCAAAATCTTTTGGACATCAGAGCAATCTTAAGGGAATCCTATTTGAGTCAGAAAAGGATATTCATATGATAGATAAGATATGCAAAACCTTACAGAGAGCATATCCAACTGACAATCTCTTAGAAAAAAATACTGGAACCAAGACTTAAAAATAACTGATATTGACACAAGATGGAGGGAATGTTGGAACATAACTAACAAATTGACAGTTAACGAAAATGTACGCTTAATCCAGTATAAACTAATGTATAGAATTTATTACACAAGAGACAAAATCCACAAATTCTACTTCACAACGGCAGAGTCATGTCTTAAGTGTAAAACTAACAATGACTCAATAATCCATGCCTTCTGGGAATGGTAAAGTCCAAAATGTTATGGGCAGAGTTAGAAAGTTGTCTGTCAGAAGTATTACAATGTAAATGTATTTTAATCCGTCTGTCTGTATATTTCAAGACATGGCATATGAGGGTGCAGTGAGATACCTGATGGGTTGGACGATACTTTTCTCGTCAATCATCTTGAAAAAACGATACTTAAAACTGGAAATCAACCAATCCTTCATCGTTAACACAATGGAAAGGTCAAATGCTTTATTATCTAAATGTTGAAAGTGCTTGGGCGACAGAGAGAAACTAAATGGTGCAGTCTGAGGTCATGTGGCAGAGAGTGATGCGGGTGCTGGAGATTGGGGGTGTGAGCAGGTGGATCTGGGCAGGGGTGATGTTGATGATTGTGTGCATCTGTATGTTATCATTTGTATGTCGATGTTTCAACAACAAAACATTTTTTTTTACTGCCATCATCATCATCATCATCATGACTCACCTGCACCACCTCGTCATCCTCCTCTAGTAGACCCTCCAACACATCTACTGCTGTCTGAGAGAGAGAGAGAGAAATCATAAAAAACTCACACAAACCATAATTTCCGTTGTTCATTATACATTAAGCACATCCTGCTCCTAGCCTGAGTCGCTCGTTATGTGTGTGGAGGCAGAGAGAGCGAGGTGTTTCCTGTCACACATATACACCTCGCTCTCTCTGCCTCCTTAATCAATGGATGTGATCAGTGAGTCTGATTAGTCTCAGAACCAAGTGTTCTGTAGACACGGTCGTAAATAGCAACAAGACAGCTTACACAGTCATCAATACACAATTAAGCTAATCTGATGATTACTATCAATAATCAGTCAATATCCCTCCTTTCCAATACTCCTTGACTTCAACAACCAATACAGAACTGGTCATGGTCAATAGATAATTTATGAGTTAGAATGGTGTTGTTTAGAGTTGAAAACTGCGATGTTAATGACTTGCCTCTGGGTTTACCACTGCTGTGTGGAAACTGAAGACAGAATTATAAAAAAAAATTAACAATAGAAGACTAAAATAGTCTCAGATATTCTAGCTCTGAGTTATCTTGTCCTGCATCTCCTGTTCTCCAGTTATCTGCTGCTTCCATCTTGTTGTTATCGGTGGTGAATGTTTCCAGGCTCACAGCAATCATCATCCTCATCTCCTCCTCCTACTCAATTGTGTCTGATTCCTCAATAGATGCACTGAGTCTGTAGTGTGTGTGTGTGTGGCTTGCTGACACATGCATGAGGATGAAGACAAACAATGTGTCAGACACACACACAAACCTTTCTACCCCTCTCCCTCCCTCATCCCTCCAGATCTTTTCTAAAGCCCTCCATCCTCTCATCGCCGTTCCTCCCTCCATCTACCTCTCTCTCTGGGTAAAGAATACAGAGCACTGGCCTTTTCACAGAGAAAACTCATCCTACACACACATACTCCTACCTCGTACTCTTCTGCCTCTACGAGGAGTTTGGCCGTGGTGATGCGTGATTCATACGGTGGGATGTCACTCTGGAAAGGGAACAACACCAGTTAGACACACATGCACTCACTGAGTCTCTCTCACACAGACACACACAAAGTCACACACACAGAATGATAAGTTGGCCCTCTGACTTTTATTCTCTGGGTTGTCTGACTCACCTGTGTGTGTGTGTGTGTGTGTGTGGGGGGGGGGGGGGGGGTTTAGTCTCTCACCTGTGTGTGTTCCTCCTCTATGTCCTCTCTGCTGGGTGGAGCTTCACTCTGTTTCAGGGCAGGTAGCCACACATCCACACTCCTCATCAGGTACTCTCTCCCCTCCTACACACACAAAATCAGACATCTGCTCCACTGAACTGTCAAATCAACACCATTTGGTTAGAGCCACAGTGCCATCTGCTGGCTGGAGGAGATATTTACAAAAGTAACCTTGAGAAGAGCTGCAGTATTCCAAAACTCGTCCCTTCTTTGAAATGAGGAGTAAATCCCTAGCTAGCTGTTATTGTTGCTCCCTAAAGATTAAGGCTTTCTGAAGAATTGGAGGCCTGTCTCATTGCAGTGCTAGGACTAGCAGATTATGGTACAATTGTATGGAAATGGAAAAGGCTCTGATTGTTCAGTTATAGACCATTTCTCTCTCTCCCCTTATCTCTTTCTTTTGCTCCCTCTCCCCATCTTTCCTCCTTCTCTCTTTGTCAGATGTGATCCCTGTGCCCAAATGTATCCGCTTCATAACTAATTCTGCATTAATATCTGTCATAAGCTGATTAACGTGTGTGTGTGTGTGTGCCTAGCTCAGCAGATTAATAGCATATGATTCCATTTTCTCACATTAATTAACTCTGATCGATGCTTTAACAAGGTGGTAACTTAGCAGGAGACGTACACTGCCTCTGATTTATAGTCATACCGTGTGTGTACTGACCTGGTTCTTCTCTGTACTGAACAGGTAGCTGGCCATCAGCTGTAGAGCCTCTGGGTTGTCAGGGTGATAGGTCAGCGCTCTCTCTATGGCCTGTCGACACTGATCTCCTGCACTCTCCTCCATACTACACACATACACACACACAAATCTGTGAATTCAATACACAACAGGCCTTTCAGGAAACAAAAATGTATATATAATTGATTTGATTTGTGTGTTACCAGAGGTCAGTGAAGTAGATCTCTGCCACAGAACAGTAGGCCACACACACATCTCTGGCTGTCGGGATCTCTGACCCCGAGTCGTGGAGCGGGGAGGCTGCTGCCTCTGCTCCTGCGCCTGCCTGGGGTGACAGGGGGATGGTTGAGGTAGAAGAATTCAGCATCTCTGGCTGCCAGTTTATGACAGTCAGTTTATGTGTGTGTTCAGACTGAAGCAACAGCTCCTCCTAGTGTTCTGTGTTAGACATGCATTCAACAAAATCCATAATTAGTGTGTGTGTGTGTACTCACTGTCGCTTGTGCGTGTTTCTCCAGCATACACAGTAGTATCTGTATTCCTTTGGTGTAGTATTGCACAGCCTCCTGGCCTGTGTGTATCTGCCCTAGAGACATGTATTTACTATGACCCTCATCAGGACTCAACTGCACCGCACGCAGAAACACTTAGAGCTGGGGCTAAGGAACACACACATGCACACAGAGATGCATCCAAACACCATACACACAGACACTGAAGGATATTTCCTTGGCCCTCTGTGTGTCTCCCAGTTCAGAGTGGATGTGTCCTAGCAGGTCCAAGGTAAGGAGGTTGTCAGGCTCCACCTCTAGTGCTCGCTGACAGAACCTCCCCGCCATCTCAAACTCCAAACTGTCCATACACTCCTCCGTCTGAAACACAACACAGATGTTAGTGTACAGCGTGTGGCAAACTCCAAACTGTCCACACACTCCTGACTCCATCTGAAACAGGAGAAAGAGAGAGTATGTCTGGTGTGTGTTTGTGTGTGACCTACCTTCTCCAGTAGTTGTTCTACAGTATATTTCTCAGCGGTTTTCTTCTTGGCTTTCTCCTGCATCTTCAGCTTCATTCTATCTTGAGGTGACAGACCTGCCACTCCAGAGCCTGTTGAAACACAGTCCCTATTGTCAACAATAGCCTATATAAGTCTGGTTACTGTTACTGTAGCTAGCTAGCAAGTTAGCTCGCTAGCTTGTTCTTTCCAAAGCAGACTAGCGAGGCACAGTGCCTTCAGAAAGTATTCACACCCCTTGACTTTTTCCACATTTTGTTGTGTTACAGCCTGAATAGAAAATTGATTAAATTGAGGTTTTTTTTGTCAAAGTGGAATTATGTTTTTAACATTTTTTTATGAAAAGCTGAAAAGTCTTGAGTCAATAAGTATTCAACCCCTTTGTTATGACGAGCCTAAAGTTCAGGAGTAAAAATGTCCTTAACAAGTCACATTATAAGTTGCATGGACTCACTCTGTGTGCAATAATAATGTTTAACATGATTTTTGAATGACTACCTCATCTCTGTGCCCCACACATACAATTATCTGTAAGGTAATTTAGTCGAGCAGTGAATATCAAACACAGATTCAACCACAAAGAAGGGCACCTATTGGTAGAAGGTAAAAAAAAAAAAAAAGCAGACATTGAAAATCCCTTTAAGCATTGTGAAGTTATTCATTACACTTTGGATGGTGTATCAATACACCCAGTCACTACACATATACAGGTGTCCTTCCTAACTCAGTTGCTGTAGAGGAAGGAAACCGCTCAGCGATTTCACATTGAGGCCAATGGTGGCTTTAAAACGGTTTTACTGAGATTAATGGCTGTGATAGGAGAAAACTGAGGATGGATCAACAACATTGTAGTTACTCCACAATACTATAGAGGCGAAAGAAACGCACACCTATTTAGGCGAGGTGCTGGCTAACGGAGTAAAACACTTGAAAAAGAAAAGGAACGCTGCACACTCTAGGACAGGGGTGTCAAACGTACGGCCCGCGGGCCGGATCAGGCCCGCAAACGGGTTTAATCCGGCCCGCGAGATGATAAAAAAAAAAAAAAAAAAAAAAAAAAAATACATTTGTATGGTATAAAAATGCGCTGCAATTTTTCAATAAAATAAACTGCTGTTCCAATTGCGTCCACTGGATGGCGCAATAGCAATTGTGTTAAGCAAGCAAACTGTTTATACCGGGGCAGAGCAAGTAGGTCAAGCACGTGCAGCCAATGAGCTACTTTGTTTTGCCCTCGATATTTATTACGGCTTCTACTTTTAACATTATGTGCTTTGGCACCCTCATTGCCCCAATATGTCTCTGTCAAAAATGAGAAAAGTGGACGCAGAGTGCAGAGTGTTCCAAGAAAAATGGTCATCCTATTTAATCACGGAATTGAATGGGAAAGCTGTATGTTTGGTGTGTTCACAGCATGTTGCAGTGCTGAAAGAATATAACCTTCGTCACCACTATGTGAGTCTTCATGCCGACAAATATGACAACTTTCAAGGACAGCGGAGATGAGAGAAGGTGAATGAACTGTTGGCGGGTCTGAAGAAACAGCAGTCTGTGTTTACTCACAGCCGAGACATCAGTGACGCTGCAGTGAAAGCTAGCTACCTCATTGCTAATGAAATCGCAGTGGCTTCAAAACCATTTAGTGAGGGTGAATTTGTAAAAACATGCATGATGAAGGCAGCGGAGATTGTGTGCCCTGAAAAGCGGCAGGCTTTTGCAAATATCAGCCTGACAAGAAACACAGTTGCAGACAGGATTTCCGATCTTTCAGTGGATTTGGACAGCCAGTTGAAGCAAAAAGTAAAGTCATTTATTGCGTTTTCAGTTGCAATTGATGAAAGCACGGACATTACAGATGTTGCACAACTGGCCATTTTTTCATCCGCGGAGTTGATGACACATTGACCGTCACTGAGGAGTTTGTGGAGTTGGTGCCGATGACAGATACAACGACAGCAGCTGATATTTTTACCGCACTCGTCGGCGCGCTGGACAGGGTCGGAGTGGACTGGTCCCGCGCTGTCAGCCTGGCTACAGATGGTGCGCCCTCAATGATCGGGAAAAAAGCAGGCGTTGTGACAAAGTTCAGAGAGAAAGTGCAATCTGCAAATGGAGGACGTGATTTTTTGACTTTTCACTGTATTTTGCACCAGGAGGCTTTGTGTTGCAAGTCATTAAAGATGGATAACGTCATGAAGGTGGTCATCCAAACTGTTAATTTCATCCGATCCAGAAGCCTGAATCACCGTCAGTTTGACAGCCTTCTCAGAGAGAAAGACCACATCTATGGCCTGCCATACCACACTGAGGTAATATGGTTAAGCCGAGGTGCTGTGCTGAGGCATTTCTTTGATTTACGAGAAGAAATTGAACAGTTCATGGAAGAAAAGGGCAAACCAGTGTTAGAATTTCATTCCGCAGAATGGATGCAGGACCTTGCATTTATGGTGGATGTTACAGAGCACCTGAATAACTTGAACAAACAGCTGCAAGGGCGCAACAAAGTTGTCACGCAGTATTATGACAGCATACGTTCTTTCAAGTTGAAGCTGTCATTGTGGGAGACGCAACTTGCCGGTGGTGATGCAGCTCACTTCCCCTGTCTGAAAAATGTGTGCGCGACCCAACATGTGGCAGACATGAAGCGGTTCAAAGATAAAATAACGGGACTGTTACGGCAGTTTGAGCAACGCTTTCAGATTTATGTTTATATGTTTTTATGTTGATGTGCTATTGTTTTTAATTGATTTTATTTTATTTGTATATTTAACCTATTCTTGACTCTGTGGTTCTTGCACTTGTTTGGGGAACAGGATTTCATTATTTTTATCTACATTTCTGCCTGAGAAATGACACCCTGATATAGTTCTGTGATCTGTGATATACTTCTGTGAATCACTGAGGCATTGTGTGTTTGTGTGTTCTTTGTCCTCAGAACTTTCAAATAACTTGAGGTGTTATGATTAATAGTGATGTTGTGCTTTTGGACACTGTCCTCAGGCTCCAGCTTTATGTTTATATGTTATGTTGATGTGCTATTGTTTTTAATTGTTTTTATTTTATTTGTATATTTAACCTATTCTTGACTCTGTGGTTCTTGCACTTGTTTGGGGAACAGGATTTCATTATTTTTATCTACATTTCTGCCTGAGAAATGACACCCTGATATAGTTCTGTGATCTGTGAAACAGTTCTGTTAATCACTGAGGCATTGTGTGTTTGTGTGTTCTTTTTCTTTAGAATTTTCAAATAAACTTGACGTGTTTTATGATTAATAGTGATGTTGTGCTTGTACTATTTTGGACACACTGTCCTCAGGCTCCAGCTTTATGTTGTATGTTGATCGTATTAAAACAAAGAAAACAATCTGAAGTTGTTGTTTTTAAGTTATATATACCATGATTTTTCCGGTCCGGCCCACTTGGGAATGGATTTTCCTCAATGTGGCCCCTGAGCTAAAATGAGTTTGACACCCCTGCTCTAGGAGCTCAGATGCAATAATTTAATATCCTAATAACCAACGTTTCGAAAGACAAGCTGTCTTCATCAGGGTATAATGACAAACACTGCGGGTCACTAGTTTATATAGTGTCAAAGGACACACGCAGGTGTCTGTAATCATGGCCGGGTGTGGCCTAATAGCATTGGTTAATTCACAGATAAACAGAACATACAAAAAACATGGATAGCATTCGATCATAGATAAACACTTAGCTACATAGGCCCACAAACACTCCACAATACTAACCTAATTGACAGAGTGAAAAGAAGAAAGCCTGTACAGAATACAAATATTCCAAAACATGCATTCTGTTTGCAACAAGGCACTAAAGTAATACTGCAAAAAATGTGGCAAAGAAAGTGTTATGTTTGGGACAAATCCAATAAAACACATTACTGAGTACCACTCTTCATATTTTCAAGCATAGTGGTGGCTGCATCATGTTATGGGTATGCTTGTAATCGTTAAGGACTGGGGAGAATAAAAAAATAAACCAAATGGAGCAAAGCACAGGCAAAGTCCTAGAGAAAAACCTGGTTCAGACTGCTTTCCACCAGACACTGGGAGATGAAATCACCATTCAGCAGGATAACCACAAAACACAAGGCCAAATCTACACTGGGGTTGCTTACCAAGAAGACAGTGAATGTTCCTAAGTGGCCGAGTTACAGTTTTGACTTAAATCTATGGCAAGACCTGCAAATGGTTGTCTAGCAAAGATCAATAACCAATTTGACAGAACATGAATATTTTTTTCAAGAATAATGGCCAAATGTTGCACAATCCAGGTGTGGAAAGCACTTTGAGACTTACCCAGAAAGACTCACAGCTGTAATCGATACCAAAGGTGACTCAGGTGTGTGAATACTTATGTAAATTATATATATCTGTATTTCATTATTTTATTTTTCTTCTAAAAACATGTTTTCACTTTGTCATTATGGGGTATCTCTGGGTAGTAAGTTGGTGGTCTGTTGATGATCCCTCTAGTGCAGGGGTGTCAAACATACGGCCCGCGGGCCGGATCAGGCCCGCAAACGGGTTTAATCCGGCCCGCGAGATGATTTTGAATAATAAAAAATAAAAAAATAAAAAAATATTTTTTATTTTTATTAAAGTATAAAAATGCGCTGCAATTTTTCAATAAAATAAACTGCTGTTCCAATTGAGTCCACTGGATGGCGCAATAGCAATTGTGTTAAGCAAGCAAACTGTTTATACCGGGGCAGAGCAAGTAGGTCAAGCACGTGCAGCCAATGAGCTACTTTGTTTTGCCCTCGATATTTATTACGGCTTCTACTTTTAACATTATGTGCTTTGGCACCCTCATTGCCCCAATATGTCTCTGTCAAAAAAGTGAAAAGTGGACGCAGAGTGTTCCAAGAAAAATGGTCGTCCTATTTAATCACGGAATTGAATGGGAAAGCTGTATGTTTGGTGTGTTCAGAGCATGTTGCAGTGCTGAAAGAATATAACCTTCGTAGCAACTATGTGAGTCTTCATGCCGACAAATATGACAACTTTCAAGGACAGCGGAGATGAGAGAAGGTGAATGAACTGTTGGCGGGTCTGAAGAAACAGCAGTCTGTGTTTACTCACAGCCGAGACATCAGTGACGCTGCAGTGAAAGCTAGCTACCTCATTGCTAATGAAATCGCAGTGGCTTCAAAACCATTTAGTGAGGGTGAATTTGTAAAAACATGCATGATGAAGGCAGCGGAGATTGTGTGCCCTGAAAAGCGGCAGGCTTTTGCAAATATCAGCCTGACAAGAAACACAGTTGCAGACAGGATTTCCGATCTTTCAGTGGATTTGGACAGCCAGTTGAAGCAAAAAGTAAAGTCATTTATTGCGTTTTCGGTTGCAATTGATGAAAGCACGGACATTACAGATGTTGCACAACTGGCCATTTTTTCATCCGCGGAGTTGATGACACATTGACCGTCACCGAGGAGTTTGTGGAGTTGGTGCCGATGACCGATACAACGACAGCAGCTGATATTTTTACCGCACTCGTCGGCGCGCTGGACAGGGTCGGAGTGGACTGGTCCCGCGCTGTCAGCCTGGCTACAGATGGTGCGCCCTCAATGATCGGGAAAAAAGCAGGCGTTGTGACAAAGTTCAGAGAGAAAGTGCAATCTGCAAATGGAGGACGTGATTTTTTGACTTTTCACTGTATTTTGCACCAGGAGGCTTTGTGTTGCAACTCATTAAAGATGGATAACGTCATGAAGGTGGTCATCCAAACTGTTAATTTCATCCGATCCAGAAGCCTGAATCACCGTCAGTTTGACAGCCTTCTCAGAGAGAAAGACCACATCTATGGCCTGCCATACCACACTGAGGTAATATGGTTAAGCCGAGGTGCTGTGCTGAGGCGTTTCTTTGATTTACGAGAAGAAATTGAACAGTTCATGAAAGAAAAGGGCAAACCAGTGTTAGAATTTCATTCCGCAGAATGGATGCCGGACCTTGCATTTATGGTGGATGTTACAGAGCACCTGAATAACTTGAACAAACAGCTGCAAGGGCGCAACAAAGTTGTCACGCAGTATTATGACAGCATACGTTCTTTCAAGTTGAAGCTGTCATTGTGGGAGACGCAACTTGCCGGTGGTGATGCAGCTCACTTCCCCTGTCTGAAAAATGTGTGCGCGACCCAATATGTGGCAGACATGAAGCGGTTCAAAGATAAAATAACTGGACTGTTACGGGAGTTTGAGCAACGCTTTCAGATTTATGTTTATATGTTTTTATGTTGATGTGCTATTGTTTTTAATTGATTTTATTTTATTTGTATATTTAACCTATTCTTGACTCTGTGGTTCTTGCACTTGTTTGGGGAACAGGATTTCATTATTTTTATCTACATTTCTGCCTGAGAAATGACACCCTGATATAGTTCTGTGATCTGTGAAACAGTTCTGTTAATCACTGAGGCATTGTGTGTTTGTGTGTTCTTTTTCTTTAGAATTTTCAAATAAACTTGACGTGTTTTATGATTAATAGTGATGTTGTGCTTGTACTATTTTGGACACACTGTCCTCAGGCTCCAGCTTTATGTTGTATGTTGATCGTATTAAAACAAAGGAAACAATCTGAAGTTGTTGTTTTTAAGTTATATATACCATGATTTTTCCGGTCCGGCCCACTTGGGAATAGATTTTCCTCCATGTGGCCCCTGAGCTAAAATGAGTTTGACACCCCTGCTCTAGTGGTTTGGGGGCTGTGCTTTGGCAAAGCGGGTGGGGTTATATCCTGCCTGGTTGGCCCTGTCCGGGGGTATCGTCTGAAGGGGCCAGTGTCCCCCGACCCCCCCGTCTCAGCCTCCAGTATCTATGCTGCAATAGTCTATGGGCCGGGGTCTAGGGTCAGTCTGTTATATCTGGTGTAATTCTCCTGTCTTATCTTGTGTCCTGTGTGGATTTATGTATGCTCCCTCTAATTATCTCTCTCTTCCTCCCCTCCCGGAAGACCTGAGCCCTAGGACCATGCCTCAGGACTACCTGGCCTGATGACTCCTGGTTGTCCCCAGTCCACCAGGTCGTGCTGCTGCTCCAGTTTCAACTGTTCTGCCTTTAGCTATGGAACCCTGACCTGTTCACCGGACTTGCTACTGTACCTTGTCCCAGACTTGCTGTCTCGACCTCTGAATGCTCGGCTATGAAAAGCCAACTGACATTTATTCCTGAGGTACTGACCTGTTGCACCCTCTACAACCACTGTGATTATTATTTGACCCTGCTGGTCATCTATGAACATTTGAACATCTTGAAGAACAATCTGGCCTTACTGGCTATGTACTCTTATAATCTCCACCCAGCACCACCAGAAAAGGACTGGCCACCCCTCAGAGCCTGGTTCCTCTATAGCAGGGGTGTCAAACTCATTTTAGCTCAGGGGCCACATGGAGGAAAATCTATTCCCAAGTGGGCCGGACCGGAAAAATCATGGTATATATAACTTAAAAACAACAACTTCAGATTGTTTCCTTTGTTTTAATACGATCAACATACAACATAAAGCTGGAGCCTGAGGACAGTGTGTCCAAAATAGTACAAGCACAACATCACTATTAATCATAAAACACGTCAAGTTTATTTGAAAATTCTAAAGAAAAAGAACACACAAACACACAATGCCTCAGTGATTAACAGAACTGTTTCACAGATCACAGAACTATATCAGGGTGTCATTTCTCAGGCAGAAATGTAGATAAAAATAATGAAATCCTGTTCCCCAAACAAGTGCAAGAACCACAGAGTCAAGAATAGGTTAAATATACAAATAAAATAAAATCAATTAAAAACAATAGCACATCAACATAAAAACATATAAACATAAATCTGAAAGCGTTGCTCAAACTCCCGTAACAGTCCAGTTATTTTATCTTTGAACCGCTTCATGTCTGCCACATATTGGGTCGCGCACACATTTTTCAGACAGGGGAAGTGAGCTGCATCACCACCGGCAAGTTGCGTCTCCCACAATGACAGCTTCAACTTGAAAGAACGTATGCTGTCATAATACTGCGTGACAACTTTGTTGCGCCCTTGCAGCTGTTTGTTCAAGTTATTCAGGTGCTCTGTAACATCCACCATAAATGCAAGGTCCGGCATCCATTCTGCGGAATGAAATTCTAACACTGGTTTGCCCTTTTCTTTCATGAACTGTTCAATTTCTTCTCGTAAATCAAAGAAACGCCTCAGCACAGCACCTCGGCTTAACCATATTACCTCAGTGTGGTATGGCAGGCCATAGATGTGGTCTTTCTCTCTGAGAAGGCTGTCAAACTGACGGTGATTCAGGCTTCTGGATCGGATGAAATTAACAGTTTGGATGACCACCTTCATGACGTTATCCATCTTTAATGAGTTGCAACACAAAGCCTCCTGGTGCAAAATACAGTGAAAAGTCAAAAAATCACGTCCTCCATTTGCAGATTGCACTTTCTCTCTGAACTTTGTCACAACGCCTGCTTTTTTCCCGATCATTGAGGGCGCACCATCTGTAGCCAGGCTGACAGCGCGGGACCAGTCCACTCCGACCCTGTCCAGCGCGCCGACGAGTGCGGTAAAAATATCAGCTGCTGTCGTTGTATCTGTCATCGGCACCAACTCCACAAACTCCTCGGTGACGGTCAATGTGTCATCAACTCCGCGGATGAAAAAATGGCCAGTTGTGCAACATCTGTAATGTCCGTGCTTTCATCAATTGCAACCGAAAACGCAATAAATGACTTTACTTTTTGCTTCAACTGGCTGTCCAAATCCACTGAAAGATCGGAAATCCTGTCTGCAACTGTGTTTCTTGTCAGGCTGATATTTGCAAAAGCCTGCCGCTTTTCAGGGCACACAATCTCCGCTGCCTTCATCATGCATGTTTTTACAAATTCACCCTCACTAAATGGTTTTGAAGCCACTGCGATTTCATTAGCAATGAGGTAGCTAGCTTTCACTGCAGCGTCACTGATGTCTCGGCTGTGAGTAAACACAGACTGCTGTTTCTTCAGACCCGCCAACAGTTCATTCACCTTCTCTCATCTCCGCTGTCCTTGAAAGTTGTCATATTTGTCGGCATGAAGACTCACATAGTTGCTACGAAGGTTATATTCTTTCAGCACTGCAACATGCTCTGAACACACCAAACATACAGCTTTCCCATTCAATTCCGTGATTAAATAGGACGACCATTTTTCTTGGAACACTCTGCGTCCACTTTTCACTTTTTTGACAGAGACATATTGGGGCAATGAGGGTGCCAAAGCACATAATGTTAAAAGTAGAAGCCGTAATAAATATCGAGGGCAAAACAAAGTAGCTCATTGGCTGCACGTGCTTGACCTACTTGCTCTGCCCCGGTATAAACAGTTTGCTTGCTTAACACAATTGCTATTGCGCCATCCAGTGGACTCAATTGGAACAGCAGTTTATTTTATTGAAAAATTGCAGCGCATTTTTATACTTTAATAAAAATAAAAAATAAAAATAATTTTTTTTTTTTTTTATTATTCAAAATCATCTCGCGGGCCGGATTAAACCCGTTTGCGGGCCTGATCCGGCCCGCGGGCCGTATGTTTGACACCCCTGCTCTATAGGTTTCTTCCTAGGTTCCTGCCTTTCTAGGGAGTTTTTCCTAGCCACCGTTCTTCTACATCTGCATTGTTTGCTGTTTGGGGTTTTAGGCTGGGTTTCTGTATAAGCACTGCTGATATAAAAAGGGCTTTATAAATACATTTGATTTGGTATTGTGTGTAGATGGGAGAGGAAAAAAATATTTAATCAATTTTGAATTCCGGCTGTAAGACAACAAAATATGGAATAAGTCAAGCGGTATGAATACTTTCTGAAGGCACTGTAGTTATCACACATGATATTACAGATATCACACATAGACAACACTAGTTGTCCTTTATAGCGATCTAGCTAACGCGTTAGATACGTCACATACCTCCGTTAGAGCGCGGATCTTTCCTCTTGGCTTTGTTCTTCTTTTTGCCCTTGGTTTGGCCTCCCATTACAAGAAGAACGATTTGCAATCAAGTTTTATAATCTATGTTAGAATCACTGTAAAAATATGGGGACAAATTAGTCCACGCGTAGGGTGTGAGTGCACATGCCCAGTACTGCTAACCCGGCAGCTACGGAGAATGATAGTGGACAAACAGTTCCAGTCCCAATGAATGACAGTAAGAACAGTCTCTGTTTGAGAATGCAAAAGTCAATCGATTTGATGTTGCGTTTTCTTGTGTCTCATTTATTATATACAACCTTAATTAGTTGAGTATTTGATCAATTTCCATTGATACAGTGGTGAACCAAACGTCACTGAAGTAATGTAGACGGGAAAATAGGCGGGAAAGATATGACGTGGGTAATTGACATTCTGAACTCACCAATGGGCTGCCAAGATGGAGCCCGTGCCTCAAGAAAACATTCTGGATTTGGCCCAATCCACAGCTACGAGCGTTTACGTCACTCAATACACATTTCCAAACAGCTGTTGTAAATAGAATGACAGACGGCTAGCTAGTCTTTGATACCGACAATAAGCATATATTTTTACTACTTCGGATGTCCATTACAGGCTTTTGCCTCCTAAAAATGGACTAAACGAAAGTTAGACCTGAATTTAAACTGCCACCGCCTCAGCGCTCTTTGGAACATCAAAACGTGATGCATTTAGCTAGCTAACGTTGCAAACTTGTACTAACGAGTTAACGTTAGCAGGCTAGCAAGGACGGTACTACTTGGACCAAGGGGAATTGAGCAGTTCGCTAACAGTCTGGCTCGCTAATTTATTGTTATCAATCTGGACAGCTGACCAATTAGCTAGGCAGCTAACGTTAGGTAGCTAGTTTACGCACGCTGCTTTGCTGGAGAAGTGGGCCCACGCTAAGATAGCCGGTCAGACGCGCCCACCTAACATTAGCTAGGTTAACTAATTAACTAACGTTGATGCTCATATCTCCCGCCTGTCCGCTGGTCAGACCGGGGAGACTGCCCTGTCACGGAGCTTCGTTGTGGCCGATGCCACCGGCCCCGTCTGCGGAGGGAAGCGAAGCACCAGTTCCTGGAAAATCCGAACGGGACTGTGGCTGTGTGCGCAGTGACAGCTCTGTATTTGATTGTAGTTAGTTAGCCAGCTAACCGTTAGCCAGGGCTGTAGAACCAGTGTAAGGTGAGGAGCGATGGGGGAGTTAAATAAAGAGGTTGTGGATATAGTTTGGGAAAGACCAGGCAGCAACGGGATGTCCGCTTCAATCTTTCGGAGATGGACCCAAGGTAAGCGGCCTCACCTCTGCTTCGCTCCATTCTGGTGCACCCCCCTGTAACCCCCTCTAACCTGAACACAATCCAGACATTGTCAGTGTTGAACCAGGTAGTGGTGGGGCAAAAGAAGTGACTGATGTGATTCCTATGTTACAGGGTTGGTCTTCAGTGAGACAGAACACACAGCACTGGAGCAGTTTGAAGGAGGACCCTGCGCTGTCATTGCTCCTGTACAGGTATGGACCAGTCACCAGACCAGACAGTGCATAACCTTACACAAAAACATGAGTTAGGTGGCCCAGCCTATGAGCAGGTAGAGGGTGTTGGTGTCTGTTACCAGGGTGATGATATCACGACAGGCACACATCTTCTTAGATAGCACTTTCTGGAAGTCAGCTGACAGGCACTCAGCTGAGAAGCCTTCTCTACTACTGTTTATTATACTGTTTATATTTATTATTGCTTTTTTGATCCTACTGGTGTAGAGATGCTTGTAGAATATTTCCTTATTGTGTGTTTCCTGCAGGCCTTCCTTCTGAAGAACATCTTGTTTAACAGAGAGAGTTCTAACTGGAGACACATCACAGGTAACCCTGACCTCTAACCCTAACCCAGCATTTCCCAAACTCGGTCCTCGGGACCCCAAGGGAAGCACGTTTTGTTTTTTGCCCTTACACTTGTCGTGGCAAAATTACAAACTGTTATTTTCATGCGCTGTATAAGCCTTAAACCTGTACATTTCCAACTGTCTGTTTGAAGGTCTTGTAAGAAGAAGCTGGTGTTTTTCCACTCTGCTTCTGTTCAACTTGGTCACACGGCATCAGAAAAAAAGCCTCAGTATTCTTCTCATATCTGTTCAAGGGCACAGCTGTGTGGAGATATGAGGAGAACAGAGGCTGGCTTGAACAGAAAGGAGTAACGTTATCACTTGTTTGTATGAACACAAGGTAGCTTATGATGCCCTGATCTGCCGGGGAGGGGTGGAACCAGCCATGATTAAGCATTTTTAGGTCCACTATATAAGACGTCAGCATTTCCTGTTGGGCTCTCAACTAATCACCTACGGGTGGTCGTTGACCAGCTCCATTATTGCAAGAATGAATCTATAACAAATAAAGATGATTGTTTGAAGAAATGACAAAGTCTGTCTCACTTGATTAGAATTTCCACGACAATACTACACTGCTGATACAAATGATTAAAGCTTGTTGATTAGTTAAATATTTGAATCGGCTGTGTAGTGCAAGGGAAAAAAACAAAACGTGCACCCCTTTGGGTCCCGAGGACCGAGTTTGGGAAACCCTGCCCTGACCCTGTTTAACAGAGAAAGTTGGAACTGGAGACGCATCACCTTGGCAATTAATGAATCTGATTCTCATTGTATGTGTTCCTTGTAGAGGAGGAGCAGAAAGCGGCCCTGTGTTCTACTCTGGCTGAGATCCTGGAACAGGCCTGCTCTACCTCCTCCACTACCTCCTACTGCCTAGTGACCTGGGCCAAGGGACAGAGCCCCCACACTACCACTCACACACCCCTCACAGGGGGTCCAGAGACCAGCCAGACCCTGCAAGACCAGCAACCTAGTGAGTCCCACTACTCATCAATCCACTAATACCCATCTAATATGAATAACTGCATTGCTGTAGTGAGATGGTATTAATCATTGCATATGATAGTGGGTAGACTAGATAGTGAGTAGTATTGCAGTCACTGTTAATCTAGAATAATGACATTGTGTTCTGTCTGCGTTACCTAAGTTGTTTCACTTAACTGCTCGGAGTGTGATGCTAAAACGTGTGTGTGTGTTTGCATCTCTGTGTGTGTGTGTCTCCTGTGTGTAGCTGCTTTGGCTGCTGAGGATCTTGGCTTTGAGCGGTTTCACAGCATCCTCCAGTAAGTAACTCTACTGACTGTGGCTCGTCTCTCTATTGGCCGTGACTTCCATGGAGATGAAAGGAGCACTGCATTGCAGGAAAATCAGGAACACTAGTGTGTGTGTGTGTCTCCATCTGTCTGGGATTGGCTAAGCCTGTGTGTGTGACTGGAGTTTCTCGATAATGATTTACAACCTGCTGACTCGGCACACACACTCCTCACTGATTCCTTAATGAGACACACACACAGTCTTTGATTCTCTGCCAGAGGAGCATTAGATTGCCATCTGGTACATTGCGTAATGACATCATACAACACTGTCAGCATTAACTACTGCACAGTCATAGCAGTGTGACTTTAAATGACTGCTATACAATAACGTTTTAGTAACTGTTCAGTAGTTGTATGATTATTATACCTACAGTAACCTGAACCCCCCTCCTGTCTCTGACTTCTAAATGAGTGTGATTTCATTAGAGGTGCTCTCGCTCACCTCTAGCCCCTGACCTTTGACCTCTAACCTCTACAGAAAGCGTATTGTGAAGTCATTATCAGAGCTTAGAGAGGAGGTTGTGTCTCTCTACGAAACCTGGAAAGGGCGCTGTGGAGTCCTGCTCTTCCTCTACTCTGTCATCCTCACCAAGGTAAGGCTCTGCGTGTGTTTGTGTGTGGGTGTGTATTACTCTGTGTGTGCATGTAACCACTTTCTCTTTGTGTCTACAGGGGATAGAGAACATCAGGAATGAGATTGAAGATACTACAGAGCCTCTCATAGATCCAGTCTATGGCCACGGCAGGTACGTCCCCTGATCCCTCACTTTATTTAATCTTTATCAGCTACATTTCTTTTGACAACTTGAGCTAAGGGATGTTCCAAAAAGGTTAAGCCACTACCTTTCTTTCTGCAGTCAGAGTCTGGTTAACCTGTTAGTGACGGGCCATGCTGTCTCTAATGTGTGGGACGGAGACAGGGAGTGCTCTGGCATGAGTAAGTACTCCACACACACTGACACAATTCTTTTGACATTGTAGTCATTTAGCAGATGCTCTTATCCAGAGCGACATAGTGTTAAGTGCATACATTTTCATACTTTTTTCGTACTGGTCCCCCATGGGAATCGAACACACAGCAGATTACATTTTCTTAGTGCAAAGTGTTGTGCAATAAACCTCATTATCTGGCAGCGTGATTTAATTTGAAACTTTTCTTCAATGTGCATTATGAAGAGGCAACTATTTATTTCTCAGTTTACTAATGGTGTTACGGAGACATTGTCCAGTCTCCTGGTGACTGTCATCCCACAGCTGAACACTAGATGGCAGTGATCAGCCACACTTTCACTGGGGGAACATGCACACAGAGACTGTCCAAAGAAGTTGTTTCACTTAAAGTTTTTTTGGTCTAAGCTGGGCCTCTCTCTCTTTCCCTCAGAGCTCCATGGTATCCACAACCAGGCATCAGTGGGCTTCCTCACTCTCATGGAGTCACTACGCTACTGCAAGGTACGAACACACATACACACACAGACTGACATTCCTTCAGGTTTGTTATGTCCAAACCATGGTGGTGAGTTTGTTCTTGTTCACTAGTCTCGAATGATTGCGGCGAGAGATTCAAACATGCTGTGAGAGAATCAGCACCACAAATAATCACATTCTCATACACACTCCCTCTCTCACACATACTGACACTTCTTGTGTGTGACTGACTCTGTGTAGTAGGACATTTATGATCTGGATAGTGGTGGAAAACACAAATCACTCTGCAAGCTCCCATGTGAAAATGTGTTTGGAGGCAATAGTTCTAACCCCCTAACCCCAACCCTACACACACCCCACACTCACACATACTGGGAGATTTGAGGGCGAGAAGAACATTTTACAGAAAATAAAAAATACAGATTTTCACCCTTTGGAAACTAGGGGCTGTTTTCCTAGGGGCTAGAGGAAATGTGTAAGGAGCCGGGACTACAGTAGAGTAGTAGAATAGCTGAGTAAGTCTGGGTAGCTGAGTTAGACCTGGGTACATTGGTATGTTCATGCTATAAACCTGCCCATTGAACAACCATTGTATTAGCAACAATATCACATAGCCTTCTCTTCTCTATTACTGTACATATTTTATTACGACATCAGATTATATTCCCTGATCATTCCTCCTGTCAGTTGAACTGGCATCAGAAAGACTTTAGAGTCTGTAAAACGAACCTGTTCTGGGTTCAGACAGTAAAGTCATTCTGGAGTCCGAATCAGAACTGCTTTGCTCCAGTTGTGGTTTGTATGTGTGTTTCAGGTGGGTGCGTTCCTGAAGTCTCCGAAGTTCCCTATATGGATCCTTGGCAGTGAGACTCATCTCTCAGTGTTCTTCGCCAAGGTAAGAATCCCACAAAAACACACACTCAACCTGGGCCCTGTGTGTAATATAAGCCAGTCTCTCTTCCAGCGGCAGGTCAGAAAAAGCCGTACCAGGAATGTGTGCTTTAACAGATTTAGTACTGCACAGTTCACATCAGAGAGAGAGAGACTGGGAGAGCGAGAGAAGGAGGTATTAGAAAAGATAGGACGGCAGTAGTATGGTCTTATATGGCTAGTTGCTGCTGTTTTTTGGCGTTGTCTTGAAGCCTTGCGGTCAGCTGCAACCGGGCCAACCAGCATGTAAAATACACACACGTCTATCTGACATGCCAAGCAGCACAAAACAACCACACACCCTTACATACACACACACACACCAGTGTTTTGGGCCAAGCAGTGTGCGTGTAACACAGCTGATGTGAGGGTTGAGAAATGACAGCATGTTCACAACGTTTATTAATTGTTACAAATTGACTCTTAAAGCTGGACTCCTTAATGGTGAAACTGCCCCGTCTGTTTGTGATATTACAACAACAAAGAAGTTACTGCAAACAACGAACACTGTTTTTTCCCCTCAGGCATCAGTGCGCAATACTGCAAAAAAAATTGTATCATGCTGCACAGCAACAGAAACAATAGGTTGTTAAATAAAACGGCAATACGGTGCTGAGTGTTTGATTTGACTGCTGGTGGGCAAGGAGACCCCCAGCTCCGCTAAAACCATTGACAACTACTTTCCGTTTTCAAGGGATTGTTAAATAAATGTTGTATAGCTAACTATTTGGTTTTAGTATCACCTCTTGAAGAGCATAGTCAGAACTTCACATTTCCGATCATTCCACATTTAGCTAGTTCTAGCATCAGAGTTATACAGCAAGTAACTGCATGCTTTTCATGATCAGTAAACATCAATTGAAAATGTAATTTCAGGTGTGTGAGGGTAGCCTATCTATTTGGCATGTAGCTAGCTAGCTAGATAAGCAAACAACGTGTCATTTAGCTTGCTTCATCAGAGAGTAGGCTTTTGGAAAGAGCTTGACATTGGCAAGTCCTTGTCCTGGTAAAGTAGTCATTCACACTACTGTCATCACCACTATAATAGATGGCAAGCAAATGAAACAATATTTGGATATAGCCATCTAGTTTATCCACTGAAAATTAGCTTCTTAACTAGCCATATACAGTGAGCTCCAAAAGTATTGGGACAGTGACACATTTGTTGTTGTTTTGGCTCTGTACTCCAGCACTTCGGATTTGAAGTGATACCAAGACTGAGGTTAAAGTGCGGACTGTCTGCTTACGTTTGAGAGTATTTTAATCCATATTGGGTGAACCGTTTAGGGGATCAAAAGTATTGGGACAAATTCACTTATGTGTATTAAAGTAGTCAAAAGTATTTGGTCCCATATTCCTAGCACACAATGACTATATCAAGCTTGTCTCTTTACACACTTGTTGGACGCTTTTGCTGTTTGTTTTGGTTGTGTTTCAGATAATTTTGTGCCCGATTAGACATGAATGGTAAATAATGTATTGTCATTTTCAAATCACTTTTATTGTAAATAAGATGCAGTATGTTTCTAAACACTTCTACATTAATGTGGATGCTACTATGATTGCAGATAGTCCTGAATGAATTGTGAATAATGATGAGTGAAAAAGTTAGACGCACAAATATCATACCCCCAAGACATCATATCATAACCATTACAATAACAGTGGAGGTTAGCATTTTTGGGCGGGTATGATATTTGTGCCTAACTTTCAGCAGCAATCGCAATTAAACACTTAAAAACTAAGTTGAAAAGGGAATGTTGGCTAACTTTGCTAGGTAGGCTTACATTGGTTGGAGGAAAAAAGTACATTAGGTCTACTTACCACTATATATTTAGCCAACTGTACGAAGTTTCTACTGGTAGCTTGCAAAGTAAACATTATCAGCTAACAGTACATCGGCAAATGCGCCCTTCTGCTGCTTGACAGGCAGAGACCACAAAGGATGGGGAAATTATATTAAACCACTCGTACTTGTCAGGTATCATTTTATTTTATCACTCAAATATCCAATTAATGGTGGCCAACATTGAGAGCTATCGAGGCTACCCTCATGTATTACATAATCCATTGATGTTTACTGATCATGAAAAGCATGCAGGTACTTGCTATATAACTCTGATGATAGAGCTGAGCAAAATGTACGCAATTGTTTTGCATGGAAAAATCTGAAATGTGTAGTTCTGACTATGCTCTTCGATAGATGATGATATTACAACCAAGTAATTAACATTTATTTAACAATCCCTTGAAAACGGCACGCAGTTGTCAATGGTTTCTAGCGGAGACGGGGGAGTATTGTGACGCTTTATTGATAACGACATATAACAATGGTGGTGGGGTGGCCAGTGGCACTGTTTCCCCATACTGCGCATTCTATCTAAGTAAAATTACTTAGTAACAATTTGGAGCACTATTTTAGATTATTCTTGGAAGAATTTCTTACTATCATTCAAAGAACCTCCTACATACAGTGGGGGAAAAAAGTATTTAGTCAGCCACCAATTGTGCAAGTTCTCCCACTTAAAAAGATCATCATAGGTACACGTCAACTATGACCGACAAAATGAGAAGATTTTTTATGAATTTATTTGCAAATTATGGTGGAAAATAAGTATTTGGTCAATAACAAAAGTTTCTCAATACTTTGTTATATACCCTTTGTTGGCAATGACACAGGTCAAATGTTTTCTGTACGTCTTCACAAGGTTTTCACACACTGTTGCTGGTATTTTGGCCCATTCCTCCATGCAGATCTCCTCTAGAGCAGTGATGTTTTGGGGCTGTCGCTGGGCAACACAGACTTTCTCTTGGTCCCAGCTCTCTGCAGGTCGTTCACTAGGTCCCCCTGTGTGGTTCTGGGATTTTTGCTCACCGTTCTTGTGTTCATTTTGACCCCACGGGGTGAGATCTTGCGTGGAGCCCCAGATCGAGGGAGATTATCAGTGGTCTTGTATGTCTTCCATTTCCTAATAATTGCTCCCACAGTTGATTTCTTCAAACCAAGCTGCTTACCTATTGCAGATTCAGTCTTCCCAGCCTGGTGCAGGTCTACAATTTTGTTTCTGGTGTCCTTTGACAGCTCTTTGGTCTTGGCCATAGTGGAGTTTGGAGTGTGACTGTTTGAGGTTGTGGACAGGTGTCTTTCATACTGATAACAAGTTCAAACAGGTGCCATTAATACAGGTAACGAGTGGAGGACAGAGGAGCCTCTTAAAGAAGAAGTTACAGGTCTGTGAGAGCCAGAAATCTTGCTTGTTTGTAGGTGACCAAATACTTATTTTCCACCATAATTTGCAAATAAATTCATTAAAAATCCTACAATGTGTTTTTCTGGATTTTTTTTCTTCTCATTTTGTCTGTCATAGTTGACGTGTACCTATGATGACAATTACAGGCCTCTCTCATCTTTTTAAGTGGGAGAACTTGCACAATTGGTGGCTGACTAAATACTTTTTTCCCCCACTGTATGTATACAGGCGCTGGATTCTGTTGGCTGTGAATTGTGTGTGTTTGAGCCAGAGGGTGTGTAACTGTATACTGCTATACCTGCGTATCAAAGCCAGCAATCAGCTTAAGGCGGAGCTAATTGATTCTCTCTGGTACAGGATATGGCATCGGAGGAAAACAGAATGTTACAGCTAGTGTTTACCTCATAACACCACACCCAATGGGTTTCCGAGGAAATGGGTAATACAATTATTGTATAAAGTGATCGTTAACTCCAAAAGCAGCAGGTTCCAGTCCTTTTAAAGGGGTCTAATATTGAGATTCAAGATCCCATATCATCTAATGTGTAGACTCCGCTCATGTCTTGAGGGTTGGAAACATCTTGATGTTGGAGTGAACTATCATTTGTTTCATGTCCCCAGGGATAAAGCAGGGTACTGGGTAGTGTCTGCCTGCTATGGGACTGGAACACATGTAGAGGCAAACTAGATGACCCAGAGTCATGGTCCTCATGATTTCATTGTGATGACTACCAATAACCACCATGGCTCCCAAGGCACTGGCAACATAGTACACACATTCCTGAGAGCAGGGAACATGATCCTGATTAGCGTTATTTGCCGTAGTGTGTGTGTGTGTGTGTGTGTGTGTGTGTGTGTGCGCCCTCAGGTGGATGGTTTCTTGTTGGGAATGTGATCCCAGAGTTCCCATCTGGATCCGTTTGTCCCGGTGGAGATTGTGTACACACTGTAGACCACTAATTTCTGATAAGTTTACTTGGCTGGAAAGAGGGGAGACTCGGCCATGGTGTGGTCGAAGTAACACATTTAATACAGTATTGTAAGGACAAGTTACATCTTAGATGCAAGAGCATAGTACAAAATTAATAGCATGGCATGTTTACAGTATGTCAAAAGCAGTCGTTAAAAAGCCCTAATGGCTAAGAAGCAAATGACAGTCTCAAGACTATATAGTCATTCTGAATTACGTATACATGCATCATTACAGACGTTGGGTGATATGAATCTCAGTCATCTTTCAATTGAACAATGAGAACAGTGAGGCATCTGCTGATTTGGGTACAGAGAGTGATATTCAGCAGCTTACGCAAGTTCAAGGTTGGATTGTCACAAGTTGAGGCCTCTGAGAATTCTGTGTGATCTGGGTCACAGGGTTATAGAAAAACACTTGTACTTCAAACCATTTTAAACTTTTGTGCAAGCAATTAAACATGTTACTCATGTTATTATGGTAAGCAAATATATGTAGGATATAGCATCCGGTTTAGGTTCTCCTCCATCCACACACACTGAGCTGATGCTACGCTGATTAGGGAGAGGAGCGGTCTGCCCTGTCACACACCCACTCTCTCTTTTTCACACACACTCACATACTGCAGTGCATACTGCATACCGTGTCATAACTGTGTGTTGTGAGAAGAGAGTAAATGTCCTATCTAGAACAGTTGTAACTAGTTAATGTCTGTGTGTGTGATGATGACAACAGCGTTCAGTGTGTTGGTGTTGAGAGACCTCTGGAGCTGACCTCAAACCATGAATCTTGTCCCTCTTCGCTGTGTGTGTGAGATGC